GGTACCAAAAAAAAAAAAAGATGAGTGTGTGGTTCCATGGTTGAGCACTTGCCTAACATGTGTAAGGCCCTGGGTTCCAAAAGTAGCAATACTATAAAAAATAACAATAATTAAAAAAAAAAACAGCATCACGCATGGTGGCACACACCTATAATCCCAGTACTTGGGAGGCTGAGTCAGGGGAGTTGCTGTGAGGTCAAGGCCACACACAACTTCACAGTGAGTTCAAGGCCAGTCTGAACTAGGTACATAGAGAGACCCTGTCATAAAAACAAAAAACCGAAAAAAAAAAAACAGCATTAACCCTAGCTCTGCACTCTCTGGCTGCCATCCTTGATTTATTTTTCTCCTCAGTGCTTACAAATGTTTGACATAACCCAGATATGGTGGCATATGCTTATAAGGCCAGCACTCTAGGAGGCTGAGGCAGGACAATTGCAATTTCAAACCCAGCCTGAGTAACTTGTAACTTAGACATACCCTGTCTCTAAACAAACAAACAAACAAACAAACAAACAAATAAAGGGCTGGGGTTGTAGCTCACTGTGAAGGCCCTGGGTTCAATCCCCAAAACTACAAACAAAACAAAAACGTCCAAAGGTTGACACACTATATAACCTTTTATTTGTTTGTTTGATAACATAATCATTCTATAGAATCTAAATTTCAAGACAGAGATCTTTCTGTCTCTCCCCCCCGCCCCCCTCCCTCTCTCTCTCTCTCTCTTTCTCTTTGTTTTTTGTTTTGTTGTTGTTTTTTGGGTTTTGGGGTTTTTTTGTTTGGTTTGGTAGTGCTAGGGTTGGAACTCAGGGCCTCATGAATGTTAGGCAAGTGCTCTGGCCACTGAGATAACCCCCATCCCAGAACAGAGATTTCTGTATATTCTGTTATTGCTATACCCCAAGGGCCTATAACTGTGTCTGGAATACAGTGGGTGATCGATAACTTTTTTCTTAGAGACATAGTCTCACCATCATGCCTGATAGACCCCCAAGTAGCTGAAATTACAGGCATGAACCACCACCATTCCTGGTTGTTTAATATTTGAAAGAACAAATGAAGAATGAGAACAAAAAATATAAATAAAAAAATAAAATAGGCCAAATCACTTTTTATGTAATCATATCTTATACAGTGCTCTCATTGCACATTGTGATTTTCTGCACTTTTATGGTATCTTTATCACACTGGAATGTCAATTAAAAAACTTTATTTAATGATTGTTGCCTTGTATTCTATTATTTTTTGCATCATTAGTAAAATTTAAATTGTCTATTGTAAATGATACTATATGACTTAGGAGAATGTACTGCTATGGAAAAGGAAAGCAGTTATTTGTTCATGGTACAGCTAGTTATTTTATACTTTAAAACCCAACATAAATACCATTTCTATTATTTAAAATTACTGTCAATTTTTTTAAAGTTTAAAGAATGTAGTATTTTCTGAGGACTGATATGGTACAAAAATGTAACCAAAATTTCTAGATACTACATCTAAAAAAAAATCAAAATGGGGGAAATATGTTTCAGCATGACTCTGATGTAGAAAAATAAAATATTTAATTGAATTGTGACAAAAAAATTTTTTTTTTGATACTGGAGATCAAACCCAGGTTCTTGTGCTTGCAAGGCAGGTGGCAGCACCACTGAGCTAAAGCCCCAGCCCTTACTGAATTGTGACAAAATTTTTAAAAAGAATAAGAACAAAGTATGGTGGTACATATATGTAATCCCAGTACTTTAGGAGGCTGGGGCAGGAGGACTGAAATTTCAAGCCCATCCTGGGCAACTTAGTGACTCAGCAATACCTTGTCACAAAATAAAAATAAAATAAAATGGGCTAGGGATATAGCACGGTCTGAAGGCCCTGAGTTCAATCCCCAGTAACACACACACACACACACACACACACACACACACACACATACACACACACACACAGCACAAAGTGTTCCAGATACAATAAGCCCATGCTCCTGCAAAGAGGAGTTTGAGTTTGAGCTTGACTTGCTAGGCCTGGATTCATGAAATCTCAGACCCACTGGTCCAAGCTTTGTACTTCCCTAGCTGTGGCCAGCAGGTGGGATGGGCGCTTACCTCTGAGGGGCAGGGCTCCTCTGCAGCCCCGCCAGTGTGTCCAGCTCCTGCATGCTGCCACGGCTGACAGAGGCAGTGGAGTTGGCAAGGCGGATGGCACGGCGCTTGGTCCTTCGGGGGCAGCAAGATGATAGTAGGCTGCCAGGCCCCACTGGCTGAGAGGACACAGAGGTGCTGCGGCTGGTGCAGCCACCAAGTGAGACAGCTCCCAGGGCCTCACTGAAGGTTAGTTCATCTGTAAACTCATGGCACTGTGGGCAGAAGGGAGGGAGGGTCACATGGTACTCTTTGGGCTCTAGCCCTCCCCCAGGCCTTTGACAGGATGCTCCTTTCTAAAAGTTGCTCTCCCTTCCCTTCCTTTCTTTCCCTTCCCTTGTTCATTCAAGGCTCTGCCTCTTCTTAGTAAGACCCATGTGATTTATACAATTTTTTTTTTTTGGTACCAGGGATTGAACTTGGGACCTTGAGCTTGCGAGGCAGGCGGTGGAACCACTGAGCTAAATCCCTGGCCCCAGATTTCTACAATTTTTAAAAACTTTTTTTTGCAGTACTGGTTATTGAACTCAGCCTCGACCATGCTAAGCAAACAATCTACTACTGAGCTATATCTTTTTTTTTTTTAGGGTCTTGTTAAGTTGACCAGGCTGGCCTGGAACTTGCAATCCTACTGCCTCAGCCTCCCAAGTAAATGGGGTTATAGGTATGAGCTACTGTGCCAGGCCAGTTTTCATAATTGAGAACTAGCCTCCCGTCCTAGGGAAGAGCTAGCTTGGCGACAGAGAGACCCCCCTCCCTCCTTTCATGCCACCTCTTGTTAGACCTCACCGTTGTCTTCTCTAGACAGTGCAGCAAATGGTGATGCTGCTGCTCAAAAGCAGAACGGTTCCTGACACGCAGCGCCTGGCCCTCCCCACTGCCGCTGTCCTGGAGCAAATGGAGCAGAAAGAAAAGTTCAACATATTCCTCACCTTATCCTTGATCACCCCAAACCCTAATCCAGGCCACTACCCACCTCTAGGCCCCCATTCTGCTTGTACTGCAGGAAGGCATTGGTGGTTCCACTCTTTGCCAACCGAATCCTTGCCAAGCGCACCTTCTACAGAAAGAAGAGACAAAGAGTCAGGGGAATAACCCTAAGCAGAGCTCAGCTCTAAGCTTGAGGAATGAGAGTCACTCAGAGGGAAGGTGCATTTTACCTGCTGTGCTCGGCGCTTGTCAGCACGCTGGTTCTGGTGATAGATGCGGCTAAAGTTGGACACGATGACTGGCACAGGCAGGGCAATGACCAAGACACCACTGAGTGAGCAGATGGACCCGAAAATCTTGCCAGCAATGGTGCTAGGCACCATGTCTCCATAGCTTGGGCATGAGGGAGGTAGGCCACAGTCAGGAAAAGCGCCTACCCCACCTCTCATTCCCCACTCCACCCCATCCAACCCCAACGTGCTCTGTGATCCAGGGCAGGCACTTATCCTCTCAGCCTCAATTTCCATCTCCGTACACTGTGCAGAGTGACCTCTTTGGCCAGCAGTGGGAGTCAGATGAGAAATGGGGTCAGCCTTCAGGAACTTCTCCCATCTGCTTTCCCCATCTGAGCTAAGCACGGGGCATCTGAGTCAGCTGCGAATCTATTATTACCCACCAGAGGGGAAAAAGAGGAAATCCTAGACAGTGAATATAGGCTCCTGGAGAGAAAGGTCCCCAGCCAAAGGCCAGCTGAGGGGCTCTGCCTCCTAGGAAGAACTTTCTGCTGGTTTTTGCCTGCCTTTATTTTCTAGGTAGAACACCTGATTCCTCCTAAGGGAAACTTTGCAAGTGTCCTCGTATGACAAATAGAGAGGATCCTTGAAACTCTCTACCTTCCTCCATGCCATGCTCCCTCCCGTAGTGATGGCACAAAGCCAACCTCACTGACTTTGTTCACAGAGGGGGGAAAGCAGAGGTTGCACGGTAGACTTGGCCAGGATCACACAGAACACTTTTGTTCTAGTTCTACAACCAATCAGATCTCCTCTTCACTCTTCAGCTTTCAGCTCTTTGCTCAGGCTGTGCCCTAGAATGGTTCTTCCATAATTCTGTTTTGACTCATTTAAAGTATTCAAGATTCTGCTCCAAAGTCTCTCCAGCTTGGCCATTTCTGGCTTTCTGATGTGTCATCTCAGACTGTGTCTCAACTATGAGACATGGGCATCCATCCACACAGGGTTGATGTGAGGACTGAATAGGGTAAAAGGCATCAGAATACCCAGTGCCAACTTAGTGTTAGGGCTCAATATTTGTTTGTCAATCTAATCCTGAACCTCCAACCAAAATTAATTTCTATTTCTTAGAAACCCCAAATCAATTTTTCTCTACCCCTGTTAAGGCAGTGAGCAAGGGCAATTCATTCAGTCATTCACTTAACAGATACTGAGCACCAACAGCATACTGTACTTAATTCCAGTGATGCAAACTTGGAGAAGGATAACAGCATCTGCCCTAGACAATGTCTTGGGGTGTTTTTTGTTGTTGTTGTTGCTGTTCTTTTTTTGAGATAAGGTCTCACTTTGTAGTTCAAATAACTGGCCTTGCACTCATAGTAATGCTCTGCCTCAGCCTCCTAAGTACCGGGGTTATAGACATATTCAACTAGACAATGGCTTTAAGGCGATAGCCAGGCTTGGCAGCACACCTCTATAATCTCAGCACTATGGAGGCTAAGGCAGAAAGAGTGCCTTGAGTTCCAGGCCAGCCTGGGCTACACAGTGAGTTCAAGGCCAGTCTGAACTACAGCAACACCCTGTTTTTTAAAAAAGTCAGCCTGAAGTATAGACTTTCTCAGAAAATCAAAAAGAACATTATGAGGAACTTTTCATGGTGGTACACACCTATAATCCCAGCACTCGGGAGGCTGAGGCAGGAGGACTGCAAGTTCAAGTGAAGCCTGGACAATTTAATAAAACCCTTTTCAAGATAAAAAATAAATAAAGAAGGACTGGGCTGTATCTCAGTGGGAAGGCCCTGGAAATGTAGCTCAATGGTAGAGCCTAGGTTCCATCCCCAGCACCTTCCAAAAAATCATGATTTTCATGATTCCATTTGATACTTTCATCTCAACTCTGTTTCCTCTTATGGACTGGCAGAGAAAATAATAATAATGCTGAAAAAAACATCCGGGAAACATCAAGAAATCACAGTCAGAGATAGTGTCCCACATGCAGGGAATTCTAGAACGTTGGGAGTCATGGGTCCTCAAAAAGGAAAAGAGGTGATAGGAAGTCAATACCTATGTATCACACTCTAGAAACTCTCAGAGAACTTTCACAACCATGGTGCCATTGACTCCTGTCTAGATGATGAAGGGACCATTTCCCATTTTACAGAGGATGAAAATGAGGCTCTGAGAAAATGTCAACACAAAGACAGTAGTCAAGACACTTTTGAGCCCAAGTCTCGTGACCTGGAAAAATCAAACTTCAGAGCTGGGAAGAATTTGAAAATTCAGTCAAATTCTCTCCATTTTTACAGCTGAACAAACCAAAACTCAAAAAGACCATGGTACAGTGTGTGCTCAGTATGTGTGATGAGGCACTGCGTTCAATTCTCAGTACCACAGAGAAACAAACCAACAAAAAAGCTGGGCATGGTGACACACATCTGTAATTCCAGCACTCAGGAGGGTGAAGCAGAAGGATCGCAGAAAGTTCGAAGCCAGCCCTGGCTACATAGTGAGTTCAAGACCAGCCTAAACTACATAGTGAGACCTTGCCCCACCACACACACACAAAAGGGGGATGTTAAAGAGATCATTCATCTATCCTTCCTAGTTTTACAGAAAGGGTAAGTATAGTCGATCTCACAGTCCCCAACACAGGGTCTGCACTCACCCAAGTGTGGTCATGGTGACAATGGTGTACCAGAAGGCAGCAGGGATGCTCGTAAAGTTAGTCTTGCTGGTGCCCTTCTCAGCATAGAACATGACAGTGGCGAAGATGATGATGGCCATGGTGAGAGAAAAGAGAAGAAAGCCCAGCTCAGAGGCACAGCTTTTGAGTGTGTAGCCCAGAATCCTCAAGCCCTGCGAGTGCCTGGAGAACTTGAAGATGCGGAAGACCCGGAACACGCGCAAGGTGACAAAGGCACCTGAAACATCACCGTTCTTGGGCACAAAAAGCCCAATGTAGTAGGGAAGGATTGCCACCACGTCGATGAGACTCATGACGCTCCGTAGGAAGCGGCACCGGCTAGGGGCAGCAAAGAGCCGCAGGAGGTATTCTCCCGTGAATATGAGTACACAGGCTGTGTCCATGCAGAAGAAGGCCGTCGGAAAGCGGTCACCACAGGACTGCTCCCTCGACAGCCTCCGTGAAGGGCTGCGGCAGGGGATGGTCTCTACCACATTGGCAATGACCGACACGGCGATGAAAAAGCCTGTCACGTAGTAGAAAACTAGAGCCGCGGTGCTCGTGTGCGGGTTCTCAAAGGCCCGCCAGAGCCGCTGCCGCAGGGAGCTGCCCGCTGGCAGAGTCGGGCCATCCCCGGACTGTTCAGCCTCCTCATCCTCCGCCAGGCGCTCAGCGTTCTCCTTCTTGCGGTCCCGGTACTCTTCAAGGCAGCAGTCGCCCACGAGCTCGGGCACCAGGCCATAGAAGGCCAGCTCTTCATCAAAGGCCTGGATGCACTCCTGCCGAGGGCAGTGCAGTCGGCCCGTGCGGTAGAAGTTCAGCACGTGCCGGAACATGTCTGGGTCGCGATCAAAGAAGTACTCGCCAGAGTCAGCGTTGTAGAAGAACTCCTTCTCAGAACTGCCCAGCAAGGTGTCTGGGTAGCGGTCTAGTGTGTTCTTCCAGGTCTCAAAGCGTCGGCCGCTCACATTCACCACCAGAACTTCATCCCCTCGAGATGCCTTCACCCCTGGGGCCGGGGGCAGGGGCTG